GCAGTGAGCGCGATGCTGTTCAGCTTCCACACAGACACTTGAATAGCGGACATTTCTCTAGCTTAACATTAGATTGAGCGGCCATGTAAAGTTGCTAATACTTACATATTTCAGATGATAAGCCATATTTGTGGTGGATGATTGATAGGCAAGCATTTGGATGTCCTGCCGGACGTACTGTATTACCATAGATCAGCCGTTAACGATCTGCGTGACTTTGCCAATGTGGATTTTTTTTCTGCGACTAAGCGACTAAAAAAATTTTGGCCGACCAAGCCTCTTCTGGTCGACTAACGATTAGTCAACTATTAGGGGACAGCCCTACAGCCAACCCAGCACTTCATCACAACTTTTCTATACAGCTAGGTTCGTCAACCATAACTCCTTCCAGGACAGCCAGGAACGTTGGAGTTGTGATTGATGATCAGTTAAGCTTCACAGACCATATTGCTACAATGGCCCTGTCCTGCAGATTTGCCTTATACAACATTAGGAAAATTAGACCCTTCCTATCAGAGCAGTCCGCACAACTCCTTGTCCAAGCTCTTGTTCTCTTCAGACTAGACTATTGTAATGCTCTCTTGGCGGGCCTTCCGGCATTTACTATCAAGCCTCTGCAACTGATCCAGAATGCAGCAGCGAGAGTGGTCTTCAACGAGCTGAAGAAAGCCCACGTCACACCTCTCTCCATTAGTTTACACTGGCTGCCAATAGCATCAAATTCAAGGGACTGATGTTTGCCTACAAGACGCTGCACCAATATACCTAAACTCGCTAGTTCAGACTAATGTGCCCCCCAGAAGTTGCATTCTGCAAGTGAACGACGCCTTGTGGTGGCATCCAAAAGAGGCGCAAAATCACTCTCACTGACATTTTACTGGACTGTTCCCAGCTGGTGGAACGACCTGCCTATCTCAGTTCAAGCAGTCTTTAGCCATTTTCAAAAAATGTCTAAAGACACATCTTTTTCGCCCCCACCTGACCAACTAATACTAGCACTTACCTATTCTATTCTACTCTATTCTATTCTATTCACTCGAATTTATTTAAAATAAAAAAACACCTTTCTATGTGTACTGTGCTAGACTAACTGACACTTGTCACATTATTTGTATATTGTTACTCTCTTGTTGGTCTGATTACTTCTATTGTTCTCCTCATTTGTAAGTCGCTTTGGATAAAAATGTCTGCTAAATGATTAAATGTAAAATGTCAATGTAAAATGTATTAACTACGACTTTTGCCTCAATAAACTCTTAATTTGCTGCTTATTAATAGTTAGTAAGGTAGTTGTTAAATTTAGGTATTGGGTAGGATTAGGGATGTAGAATATGGTAATGTAGAATAAATGCTTTATATGTACTAATAAACAGCCAATATGTTAATTATAGGCATGCTAATAAGCAACTAGTTAATAGTGAGAACTGCTCCCTATACTAAAGCGTTACCGTGATCAAATCGTGGACAAAGGGTTTTTTCTTGTTATTTTGTAAAACTAGTTTTATGTATACGAGTGTGTTTTTAGGCCTTAAAGTATGTGTTTGTATGTTTTTATAATGGTATCATTAGGATAATGGTAACATAACTACAGTATTCTCAGAGGGATCTGGTGCCAGAGCTACAGTGACCTCTCTATATGACGCAACACCATGACGCTTCACTCCAGCAGAGGCAGTCGGACAGCAATTGAACATCACTGATTTGTTCAGGATCTGTTCACACGACATGCATTCAGTCATATCAAAATTAACACATCAGCACAGCACAACATGACTGACAGCCAGTGATTAATTCATTAATTAATCAATTAATTGAATAATTAACAAATAACTTTTACAACTCAGTTAGATGAAAATGTGTGACTGTGAGCGTATATCAACTATACTCAAATAACTATTCAAACCACAATACCACATTTGTTTGTGTTACATTCAGCAATGTTGTTTATAAAAGTACACTGCTGTAAAAATCTCAATACAGAACAGAATATTGTCCAACACATATAAAAACAACAATATAATGAAACTGAGACTGACCAGTGGCACGTTCATAAAACCTGTCTATTTTGGGTATCACATTAGTTTAGGGACTAATTCTCACTATTAACTAGTTGCTTATTAGCATGCATTTTACTAGCATATTGGCTGTTTAATTAGTACTTATAAAGCACATATTAACACCTTGTTTTGCATGACCATATTTTAGATCCCTTAAGCCTACCAAATACTTAAAACTTAACAACTACCTTACTAACTATTAATAAGCAGCAAATTAGGAGTTTAATAAGGCAAAGTTAATAGTGAGAATTGGACCTTATAAAATGTGACCCTATTTTGTCTTTCAGATAAACAAATGCACACAATCTTTACACTACACTAACTTGCTCTGGACTAATTCTCCTATAAGCACTACTCACCACATCAAAATTACCATAAATACTTTCCTTATAACAGTCGCACTAGACTATGAATGCAGCCATCCAGCAACATAAATGATGAGATAAGACATCACCTTAGAGTTATATCAGATACAGCAGAGAACTTCTGCTGGTCCTCTCAGTTCCCCAGCGTGCTTCTCACTCACACACACACACACACACACACTCTCAGCGGAGGCACAGCCCCTCCCAGGGGAAACTCTGTGTCTCTGTCTCGATATCTTTCCTCAGCCTTCTCCTTCCTTTCCTCTATTTTTGTTTCTCTCTCCTGTTTTCCCTGTCTTCCGCTCATTCTGGTGTAGCTCCAGGCTGCTTTGTCCTTCTCTGACCTGCTCCAGTAAAAGCTTCCCATCAGGCCCAGAATTTCTGATTGCCCAAGGGCCAGAAAGAACAAAACGAGAGAATGAAAGACTAAGATGGAAATAAACTCACGGCCCTGAAGAGCAGAAGTACTGCTGTCTTTTCTGCCAAAGATAGAAAAGGACAAAAAGAGCGTCTTCATCTGTTGTGTTTTTGAAGAAATAAGTGATAGAAAATTCCTTCAGTATGAGTGCTGGGAATTGAGTGCAACACGCCTAAAATCCTCCAACTCTCTACATGAACGATACAGAAAATATGTATTTATAGTGTCACACCGAAGCTGTGTTTCTCAACCTTTTTGACTGCAAGGCCATCCATTATTCAAGACATTTAAAGACATTCATCATTCAAAGCCATGTAGCCTCAAATATTTTTGGTAATGCTGCTGTAATGATAAATCTGCCTATTTACAGAAACGAGGAGTGGCAGTATAATAAAACACCTAAGTAAATTCATTTAATAAAAGTACATTTAAATAATTACATCCTGTAATTACAGAAGTTTTAAGAACCAAATGTTCTTCAGAGTTCTTTATGGCCTATGAATTGACATTTTCCAATGGCTAGTGAGGACGGGATGAGACATCTTTATGTTTAGCTATTTTAGCTTATTTTAAGGATGTTTTAAACCATCTTGCGTCCCCTTGGAAGTGTTCTGAGGGAGTGGCTCCTGACTTCTGGCCCCCTAGCTGAGAACTACTGAACTAGAGGATGATAACAAAATTTTAAGATCACAGAACAGAACATTTCTTATACCTCCACTGCCTCCTGCTGGCTAAAATACTTTTTTTATTTTGCACAAGTTGTGGCAGTCTGGCAATTATGGTTGGACCAGTGTGGATTCAGGCGCACCCAACTGGCACAGTGTACAATCCTGTATGAAGCGAAATGACTGTCATCACAATGCCATCCTCATTTTTTAACCTCTTCACTTCAAACTCTCTGTTCCATTCTAGTGTGTAACCTCCACTTTTCTGGATCTAATTCCAGATCGATAAAATCGAGTCTCATTCTACATTTTTTCCCCTTCAATATCCTGTTTCACTCAAAAATCACATTACAAATGTAAAATAAGTTGGGACTGTCAATTCAAATGGATTTGTTATTGTTTTTATACGGCTGCCCTTGTGGAAAAATGATGTGCTAAATTGTTTTGAAAGTGGACTTGTTTTTTTGTTTTTATTGTACTTGCAGACAATATGTGTCTTAAGTGTCAATTTTTCGAAATTAAAGTGTATACATCATCTGAAAACTGGATAAATAAGCTTTCCATTGATGTATGGTTTGTTAGGATAGGACAATATTTGGCCGAGATGCAACTATTTGAAAATCTGGAATCTGAGGGTGCAAAAAAAAATCGAAATATTGAGAAAATCATCTTTAAAGTTGTCCAAATGAAGTTCTTAGCATATTACTAATCAAAAATTAAGTTTTGATATATTTACAGTAGGACATTTACAAAATATCTTCATGGAACATGATCTTAATATCCTGATGATTTTTGGCATAAAAGAAAAATCAATAATTGTGACCCATACAATGTATTTTTGGCTATTGCTACAAATATACCCCAGCGACTTAAGACTGGTTTTGTGCTCCAGGGTCACATATAATATTAATGAAATAAAAGGCCACTTAAGTGTACTTAGGGAAAGTACATTTTTATGACTGTGTCTTAACACACTTAAGTGCACTTTAAAAAAGTGTTGTAATACTTTAAAGTATATTTTAAATAATTGTTTGGATAATCATAAGTCATGTTTCAAAGAAGTACACTTATTTTGATGAGTTGACTAACATACTAAAACACATGTAAAGTACTTGATTATAGTTTTAACTGTAGTGTGTTATTTGATATTACATTTAAGGTATATATATATATATATATATATATATATAGGCATTTAATATAAGTTAAGCACTTAAGTATAGTAATATAAGCACTTAAGTATATTATTTTAAAGTGTAATAAGTACTCTTTTCAAAAGTATGCTGAGGTGTACTTCTTTTCATAAGGGTTGTAATCTGACAGTATTCATTATTCTAGTTTATTTCGTCATAATTCAAGTTTCCAATTGCCTAATTTACACAATAAACTCACAAAGCAGATACTGCACTTAAAACTTCAAACATGATTCAAACATGATTATTCATATAGGTGTCATTGGTATATTCTCAGTATATTCTTAAAAGAAATATCATACCTCCCACAGGGTCCTAAAGTCCTTCTGCTCAATCCGCAGTAGTTCACTGAACTCTCGGGTGACAATGGTGGCGTGCCGAGGCGTGTTGTCCAGAATAGACTCCCCGAAAGCTGTGCCGATGCCCAGTGTACAGATGGTGACAGCATCCTTAACATGAAGAGGAACACAGGTGAGAGCAAACTCTTTCAAAGAGGCAGAGATCAGATGAGAGGAGTCATATAAACCATCTGAGATGGTTCTGATTGAGAGACTACTGTGCTTCCACTTAGATCCAGGCCTTTGTCAAGGACAGAGGCAATTTCACTCAACACACACAGAGAAAGAGAGAGGTCAGCTCATTTGACCCAGAGGTTTGTAATGTAAGACGCAGCTCTGATAGGAGTTGCTCTAGTTTTCTGCTGGGATCTATAATAAGCACCTGCACTCAATATAAAACGGCAACTGTGAGCATCCAAATGTATGATCATAAGCAGTTAAGTGATTCTGGTTCCAGTTCAGATTCTACTTAGCAACTGATAAATCCTTTTTTTTTTTTATCTTAGTAGTTTTTGCTCACGACACAAGCACAGAGAACAAAAAGCAACTGCTAAAGAACAGAGAGACACAACAAATGAGGGACATTCAGCAACCTGAACAGAATTTAGCCAGTTATTGCAGTGACACTAAATATTTGAAACGGTATAGATATTTGAGTGTTCAATCTCTTCTCATAATTGTCTAGTACCTAAATATAACTCCTTTTAGGTGAGAGACGTCTAAGGAGATCTGTTAATATGATGCAATAACAGTTATGTAAATTATGATTTACATAACTGTTTGTCCCTGATGAACTATAGTGAATGTGTGAGTATGTGTATGTTCTATTATCAAGTTAGATTTATTTCTATAGTGCTATTCACAATACACATTCATTATTTTCACATGCAGTTGAGATTTGCTATATGGTAAAATTAGCTCTTTATGGGAATATACTGTATGCAGATAAAGTTGGACATTATCTAACCTTATAATAATAGTTTTGCAATGATACAAACGAACAAGCAGTTGAGATTTGCTACTGTATATAGCATATATACTACATATGCTATATAGCGCTGTATATGCCACTTTACATGAGTGTATACTACAGGGCTAAAATGTTAATATTATAATTTCTTTGATAGTTCAGACACAGGGTGAGCTCTGTCTCTAGTATTTTAAAGAGGTCATATGATGCTTTTTTAAAGATCATTATTTTGTGTATTTGGTGTAACACTGAAGTGATAACGTACCTGATGGTTTGCTGTTTCCGAGACTCTGACATCTAGAGAACCAGACAGGACAGTGTACCAGTTAGTCCCGATGTCACCCTGCCTGTACACTAACAAACACACAGAGAGAAAGTAGCGCTCTATTTAAAAAATCATAATCTAACACCAAACTCAGTCACAATGCAACCTTGTGTGAAGGAATTCTGTCAACAAACAATGTTTTCATACCATATGTGTGTGAGCATGAGTGCATGAGTGCGTGTGTGTTTGACTCACATGTGATGCCTTTCTCCAGACACTCGTAGAAGCCACACAGACAGATCTGCTGAAGTAGAGCAGGGTGGAACTTCTCAAAGGCCTTCACACTTTTCAGACGGGCCAAGATAATGTCCCCATCCTCCCCCGAACGCTCCTCCGGTCTGCAAACACACATACAAATAAAAATTACGGCAATAGCTGACTCAAAAATGAAAACGTCATTATTAGCTCATTCATTAAATAAGCCTTTTTACTTATTTATTTGTTTACTGAGTTTTGCACTATGATGGAACTAGTCTGTTCACATCTTAGAAGTCTGATAATAAACCAGAGCATATTGGGTTCAACAGAGCTAAAGGCATGCCTTAATGAAACGGTGCTTTTCACTATTCCCATTGTGTATGATTGCAGAAAATATATATAGCTTTTTAGTGAAAATTAATAGAGCAACACATTTTGTTGAAAAAAAAAATTATAAGTGTTTTTGTTTTTTTGGTAAAAAAAAATAAAAATCATATAAATCTATGGCCTTTTACACCACACTCAGGGCAAAAGCCACTCAGTATCTACACAACTATTTGTAGACAAATAAAGTAATGTGTTTGGCATAATATCTAAGTTAATACTTGTTCAAAAATTCAGTTTGTACTATTTTCTGTTTATTTTCATAAATAAAAGCATTTTTGTTCATAAAATACACTGCCATTGAAATATGTTCATTTTATGAATACAGGCTTGAAGGAGATCCGATGATAATTTAACATGGCTTTACAGTAGTAACAATAAATATATTTTAATTACATGACTATATGATGGTTTAATTATATCCCACTATATTACCTCAAATATATATATATATATTTACTTCAGTTGAAAAACTGTTGATTTAATTACTTTGAACAAAACTGAAAACATTAACAAGACATTTGTCTCAAAATATATTCAGGAATTTTATCGATTCCAAATTTCTATGTAAATTTATAACATTTTACAAGCATTAAATATTAGATCAAATTAGCTTACGATCGCTTTTGAGTAACTGCCCACAATCGTGTCATTTCAACCTCAATAGTTAAATTTATGACGTTCATATAATTCAAACAGCAATCAATATTTTGCTTTATGAGTCAGAGGGGAAACCAGTGCAGTGAAAATCAAATACAGCTCCACTCAAGACATCTGGACATTGCTGTTATGCATCTATCTCCCCATTAAAACAATGTCAGGTGAAAGGAGATAAACACAGGAACGGAGAGGGAAGAGTACTGGCACATTTACTGTTTTCAACAGACCTGTGCCCATCTGCTTTAGGTGTGTAAATATTGATCTACAGCGAGATGGAGACATTCACTGCAGGAAGAGCAGGTCGGAGCCCATTAGAGTGTCATAAACACATTACACACAAATCTATGCTCCATGTCTGATAATGAGATTGTAATGTTTGTTAACTGCTTTAAAATGTTGGATATGTCCTAGATGTCCTGTATCCAGGCTATGATGGGCAGAGTCCATAGACTCACCGTGCTACTTTTACTACAAATGAAAAGTGTTTCTTAGAGAGATTGTTCACCCAAAAATGTGCTGTTATCTGTCTGTCATCATTAACCCTTGTGTCATTCCAAACCTGTATGAGCTCCTTCCATGGAATCAAAAGACCAGCAGCTGCCAAAAAAATTTTTAATTAGCACCATAAATGTATCATTAAAGTAGTCTACACAAGTCATGTCTTAATTTTCAAATAGTACACAAATGGTATAAAGTTTACCCAAAAATGAAAATTCTATCATCATTTACTCACCCTCATGTTGTTCCAAACCCAAGGTCTTTCGTTCTTCTTTGGAACATGAATGAAGATATTTTTAAAGGGTCAGTTCACCCCAAAATGAAAATTCTGTCATTAATTACTCACCCTTGTGTTATTCCAAACCCGTAAGACCTTCGTTCATCTTCAGAACACAAATTAAGATATTTTTGATGAAATGTGAGAGCTCTCAAACCCTGCATAGACAGCAACGCAACTGTAATGTTCCCAGGTCCAGAACCGTAGTAAGGACATCAGTAAAACAGTCCATGTGACATCAGTGGCTCAACTTCAGTTTTGCGAAGCCACGAGAATACTTTTTGAGCGCAAAGAAAACAAAAAGAACATAATTTATTCAACAATTCTTCTCCCCGGAGTAACGTCTTCCGCCATTTTGGAGAGTACCCAAGAACGTAATCGACGTAATCAGCGTTGTTTACGTTCGGGGGAGAAAGCACGTGCATGAACGTAATCTGCGTAATCAGCGTTGTTTACGTTCGGGGGAGAAAGCACGCGCATGAACGTAATCTGCATAATCAGCATTGTTTACGTTCGGGG